ATTTAAGTTCTCAGCTTGGTTGAATATAGTGATCACTTCTCCTTCATGCAAATGTTGTGCTTCTATGGAAGCAGACTAAATTATGGTTGGGAGTCAGTCAGCTATTTAACCAGACTTAATAACAGCATTAAAACTGTCTCAACTTTGGCTCAAATCTTAAATTACAAGAAATACAAACAATAATAAAACCATACTGCTGCATTGAATAGCTCTTAACCTAGCCAAGGGGGAAAAAAAGAAAGAATAGCTAGTATAAATAAAAGTATGTGCCAAAAATTACTGTGACAGGGACACCCAGATCCAATTTTATAAAAGAAATGCAGCCGGGTGCAGTGTTGCACGCCTGTAATCCCTGGGGTTCTGGAGGCTGAGGCAGGAGGATCACCAGTTCAAAGCCAGCCTCAGCAAAAGCAAGGTGCTAAGCAAGTCAGTGAGACCCTGTCTCTAAATAAAATATAAAACAGGGCTGGGGATGTGGTTCAGTAGTCGAGTACTGCTTAGTTCAATCCCTGGAACCCACCCCCCCCCCAAAAAAAAGAAAAGAAAAGAAAGAAAGAAATGCTAATGCAGGATGAGTCATCCTTTTTGGTTTGAATATTCCCAAACAGACTCCCCAACTCTTCCCTCTCTCATCTCTCCCTGAAGCAGCCTCAGATCCTAGAAAGAACATGGGCATGGACACAGATCTGAATTCAAATTCCAATTGTGCTGAGTGGCCTTGAAAAAAGCCCTGGTTTCCTGAGGGGCAGTATGAAAGATAATAGAAAGCAACTTTCACACTTTGGGGGAAATTAAATAAAATAGAGTATTTAAATCACTTAATATAGTATCTGGCTCAGATACTGAGATTCTCAAAAAAATTAAAAAAAAAAAATTCTCCTTCCTTCCAAACTCTTATTTTCACCTGAGTACTAGTCTATTCCAGGCAACTCACACAGGCCATCATTTCCAAGCAACGTGACTAAAACTCTCTCCCCCTACATCTTCTTTCTTTACTACTGCCATCATTGTTCACCTAATTGTCCAAGTAAGAAACTAGAGCATCTTCCTATATTCCATTATCCTGCTCACTTCCCTGTGTGCTTATGAAACACCTACTCAGCTTCAAAACTTGGTTCAGGTACCACCTCTTCTGGGAAGAGCCTGGATTTCTCTGCTCCCCTCAGACTAAGTTAAGTTCTTCTGCTCCCATGTTCCCACCTCTATTAGAGTAGGAATTACACCATACTATTGGGACTTGTTTCTCACCCCATCAGGCTGTGAGTACTTGTATCTTATTTAAAGTTTTAGAAAAAAACAAAACAAAAAAAAAAGGAGTGGGGCTTAAAAGGCAAGCAATGTAAAATGAAGGATCTACATAAAAAGTTCTACAAATAGTTTGGTTTCGAAAAGATCAATTTTAGCACTTGTGATGTGAGGTGTCCCTGAAAAGCTCATGTGTGAGACAATGCAAGGTTTAGAGGAGAAATGACTGAGTTATGAGAGTCTTTACCCAATCCATGAATTAATCCCCTGTGGGATTAACTGAATGGTAACTGAATGTAGGTAGGATATGGGTGGAGGAGATGGGTCATTGGGGGTGTCCCTTTGGGGATATATTATTGTATCTAGTGAATGGAACCTCTTCTCTCTCTCTCTCTCTCTCTCTCTCTCTCTCTCTCTCTTCTCTCTCTCTCTCTCTTCTCTCTCTTCTCTCTCTCCTTCCTGATCATGATGTGAGCTGATTCCCTCCACCACACTCTTCCACCATGAACTTTTGCCTCACCTCGAACCTGAGGAATAAAGCCAGCTGTATATGAATTGAGATCTCTGAAACCATCAGCCCCCAGATAAACTTTTCCTCCCCTAAAGTTGTTCAGGTTGGTCTTTAAATCAAGCAGCAAAAAAGTTAACTAAAACAGCAATAGTAACATTTTGAGCCAAATAATACTTTGTAATAAGAGGCTGTCTAGTCAGTCCACAAGATACCAGTAGCAACATTTCACCATCACCAGTCCCAATAACCAAAACTATCTCTAGGCATTGACAAATGTACCCTAGGGACCAGCATTGCTCTCATTGAATCTTCGGAATGCTGTGGTCTCTGAACAACACTTTCCAAACATTTGTGTCTTCTGAAACTCTCAAAGACATAAAAACCAGGGTTCTATTAAATGTAGAAGTCTACAAAAACACAAAAACATTTTTAAAAGTAGAGCCCAAACAGGACACAGTAGCACACACACACTTCCAAAAATTAGGAAGGTAAAGGATATAAAATTAACACCTATAAATCAAATGCATTCTATACATCAGTGGCAAATCCTCTGAAAAAGAAATTAGGAAGTCTACCCCATTCAAAATAGCCTCAAAAAAGTCAAATACTTGGGAATCAACAAAAATTATAAAAGACTTCTACAAAGAAAACTACAGAATGCTAAAGAAAGAGATTAAAGAAGACCTTATAAGATGGAAAGATCTCCCTTGTTCTTGGATAGGCAGAATTAATTTTGTCAAAACAACCATACTACTAAAAGCACTATACAGATTTAATTCAATTCCAATCAAAGTCCCAATGACATTCCTCATAGAAATAGAAAAAGCAATCATGAAATTAATTTGGAAAAACAAGAGACTCTTAGTAAGAAGAGTGAAGCAGGTGGCATCACTATATCAGATCTTAAACTACACTGCAGGGCAATAGTAACAAAAACAGCTTGGTATTGGCACCAAAATAAACTTGTAGATCAATGGTACAGAATAGAGGACACAGAGACAATCCCACATAAATACAGGTATCTCATACTAGACAAAGGTGCCAAAAACGTACATTGGAAAAAAGATAGCTTCTTCAACAAATGATGCTAGGAAAACTGGAAATCCATATGCAACAAAATGAAATTAAACTCCTATCTCTCACCATGCACAAAACTCAACTCAAAGTAGATCGAGGATGTAGGAATTAGACCAAAGACCTTGCGCCTAATAGAAGGAAAAGTAGGCTCAAATCTTCATCATGTCAGATTAGGTCCTGACTTCCTTAACCAGACTCCTAAAGCACAAGAAATAAAATCAAGAATTAATAAATGGGCCAGACACAGTGGTGACAGCCTGTAATCCTAGCAGCTCAGGATGCTGAGGCAGGAGGATCATGAGTTCAAAGCCAGACTCAGCAAAAACGAGGTGCTGAACAACTCAGTGAGATCATGTCTCTAAATAAAATACAAAATAGGGTTGGGGATAGGGTTCAGTAGTCTAGTGCCCTGAGTTCAATCCCCAATCCCCCCTTGCAAAAAAAATAATAAATGGGATGGATTCAACCAAAAAACTTCTTCTCAACAAAAGAAACAATCAGTGAGGTGAATAGAGAGCCTATGGATGGGAGCAAATTTTTACCACACATACATCAGATAGAGCACTAATCTCTAGTATATATAAAGAACTCAAAAAACTTAACACCAAAAGAACAAATAACCCAATCAATAAACAGACCAAGGAACTGAAAAGACACTTCTCAGAAGATGAAATACAATCAATCAACAAACATATGAAAAAATGTTCAACATCTCTAGCAATTAGAGAAATGCAAATCAAAGCTACTCTAAAATTTCATCTCACTCCAGTCAGAATGGCAGCTATTAAGAATACAAACAACAATAAGTGTTGGTGAGGATGTGGGGGGAAAGGCACACTCTTACATTGCTGGTGGGACTGACTGCAAATTGGTGCAACCTCTCTGGAAAGCAGTATGGAGATTCCTTGCAAAATTTGGAATGGAAACATCATTTGACCCAGCTATCCCTCTCCTCAGTTTATACCCCAAAGACTTAAAAACAGCATTCTACAGTGACACAGCCACATCAGTGTTTACAGCAGCATAATTCATAATAGCTAAAACTGTAAAACCAACCTAGATGCCCTTCAGTAGACAAATGGATAAAGAAACTGTGGTATATATTCACCATGAAATGTTACTCAGCATTAAAAGAGAATAAAATCATGGCATTTGCAGGTAAAAGAATGGAGTTGGAGAATATCAGGCTAAGTGAAGTAAGACAATCCCCCAAAACCAAAGGCCAAATGTTTTTTCTGACATGAAGATGCTGATTCATAATGGGGTGTGGGGGGGGGGAGTGCCACAGTCCGGCTGCAGCAAAATAACGGGGGTGACAAAGAACTTGTGTACTTGATACAGCAGGAGTGGGAGCCATTTATTGCAGGACATGAGCAGTATTTATACATTCCACACAGCTTATCTAATTAGCATAAACTAGATACATCAGTCAACCAATAAGGAATCTCTACACTTAATGGCTCTCTTTTGTTACTTTTCAAACCACTCCCTCTGGCATTTTGCCAGGCACCATCCAGACTTGTTTAGGAACTCTAATATACCCCTGGCAAAATGCCAGGTGTTATTTTTGACTTGTTTACAGACTCTAACAGGGAGTATGAAAGGAATGGAGGAACTTTGGATAAGGCAAAGGGGAGGGAGGGGAAGGAAGGGGGCATGGGGGTAGGAAAGATGGTGGAATGAGATAGACATCATTACCCTAAGTACATGTATAAAGACATGAATGGTGTGACTCTACTTTGAGTACAACCAAAGAAATGAAAAATTGTGGTCCATTTGTATACTATGAACTGTCATGTGTAACAAATTAAAATTAATTAATTAATTAATTTTTAAAAATGAGGGAGGCTGAGACAGGAGAATAGAAAGTTTGAGGTCAACTTCAGAAATTTAGTGAAACCCTGAACAACTTAGCCAGATGCAGTCTCAAAATAAAAATTATAAAAGGACTGTTGATGTAGCTCAGTGGTAGAACACCTCTGGGTTCAATGCTCTATCCCACAAAAAAAAAAAAAAAAAAGTAAAGCAGAACATAAGTTTTAAGGGCTGAAAAGGAATGTTCATATTTTTAACGATTTAGTATATACTTTTTTCCTCAGTACTGAGGATTGAGGATTCCCCACTGAGATACATCCACAGCCCTTTTTATTTTTTTATTTTGAAACAGGGTCTCCCTAAATTGCGAAGGCTGACCTCCAACCTGGAATCTTCCTGCCTTAGCCTCCGAGTCTCTGGGAATGTTGGTATGCACCACCATGCTCAGCTAATATATTTTCTTATATAAAAGATGTGTGAAAATTGCTTTTCAACTTCAAATAAAATATGCTATTCTCTAGAACAAACTAAGACATTTTAAGGGAAGTATGATACTCTTGTTTTCAGGTAATGATTTAGTATCAACAATGGGCCTTTTCTTTGGCCTAGACATAAAATGGGGGTGTGGAATAATGAAGCAATTGTACAGTTGGAAATAGTGAACTCACATCCCTCATAGAGAAAGGGTCATGCTACCTTCCCAACACAGGCCAAGAAAATTCCCATGATTCTAAGCCACATAGAAGACTTTCAGATGCCAAAAAATTTTTCCAGTCTCCTCCTTTATTCTCCCATCCCACTTCTCTATTTTCAAATGACCAAAGAATGAAGTTTCCTTTATAGGTCACCAAGCTAATAATGTCTAGTTTCTGCCTGGGGAAATTCCACCTCCCTTCCCATTGAAAATTAAAATTCTTATTTGATCAACATCAAAATCTCCATTTAAAGATGAATGCAGAGATAATAAGTTACTGGAGTTCTCCAAATGCTACCCAAATCAGGCAAAAGAATGGCATTGCAGAACTCTGTTTTCCAAGTCCTCCCACAGAGAGTAGTATAAAGTCTCTGAAAGCTGAATTCCAAGGCCAGGGGTTACCACAAAACTGACCTCTCTGATCATGTGCCCAGAGCTTTCAAAGACAGCTGAAAACACATACATTTTACATATAAACACAATGAAGAGGTGGAAAGACGGGATTCTGGTACCCAATGACTTAGATCCAGAATCCCAGCTCTGCTGTTCAGCAGCTGGTGACATTGGGACCCTCCACATCAACCTCTGTGTGCCTGTATCCTCATCTAACCAATGGAGACAGCAGCTGGGCCTACTTCTTAAGGCTGTTATGGAGAAAAAATGAGTGAATATTTATGATGCTTAATAATTAATTAATACTTGTAGAGGGGTATCTGACACATTCTAATATATATATATATATATATATATATATATATATATATATATATATATATATATATATATATTTGCAAACTATAATCCCTTCCTTCTGCAGTCCCTTCTGCTTTTTTCTGTGCTCATCTTGAGCATTCTTTCCAGGTTCCTATCAAGGTATTAGAAGGGAAGAGCCCATGTGTTCAAGGTGTCAGTCTTAAGTTCTTTCTCTGAGCAGTCTTTGAATTTCTGCTGGAGACCTCAAAAGGCAGATAAGTCACTAGGGCTTAAAGAAATGAGAAGAGTTGTATTCTCAGTTGGGGAAGCCCTCCTTTGCCTGGTCTGCACATTAATTCTGAGGCTGGCCCTAGGGAGAACAGTAATGCAATACGGTTTTTATTTTTATTTTTTTATGTTTTGGTGGTGCTGGGGATAGAACCCAGCTCCTTGTACATGTGAAGCAAGCACTCTACCAACTGAGCTATATCCCCAGCCCTGCAAATTTATACCTTTGAGTTCACAAATTAAGACAAAAAAACTAAGCAGCTTCAAATGTCTGTACTCTACCTATGGCAATTGTGACACTGCCTTGAAATGAGTCATCTTAAGCCTAAGTTAGAAGCAGGCATAATTTCCAGATGTCAAAAATATATTTTTCACTAAATAGAAAATCAAGCAAGATGGAGTGTGGTTTTTTAATACTGCTTATTTTACTAGCTGTTAATGTCTACTCACTTCTGATTTTCTTCAGATTATCCCCTTGTAAACTGTGGCCTAAATGCATTTAAATTGCCTTTGAGTATCCTAAGCAATCTTTACTGCCATGGAAACCAAACCAAGGATATGCAAGATGACTCCTCTAGGGCATAATCTGGTGCTCTGGATACTTTTGATTGGTTGCTCCCTGCTCTGCCAACCCCTCTCTGAAATGAAATCCTGTTGAATTTATTTTTATTATCCACAGGAGCACACAATTCACCAAGCAATGGAAAGTACCATTCACCTGTCAAAGTCCTTCCACAGACATGGGCAGCATCAGAGGCAGCAAATCCAGAAGTGTCAGAAAGCATGAGCAGACTCCTCCAGAAAGATGTAAGCAATTGCTCAGTTGCTCTGTTGATGGGGTAACCTGCACATTTTAAATTTTTATTGGTGAAGGAGAAAAGATTGTGGCCTGCTGTCCCAAAGAATGCTACCTAACACCTGGCTCTTACAATGTCAGGGGATCCTTGTACAATTCTGTATAAAAGGCATATGAAATAGTAACAACAAGGGACCAAATGTACAAATTATCCAATTCTTAACTTTATTGTTAAAGTATTTATAACCTTGATAAAATTTCTTAGCAGAGACTTCTTTTTCACAATTTGTAGAATAGGTTCTTTTTGAGATTAATGTTTGCAAACTAATAAATCCTTTGGATGAAAGATTAGACAAAGAACAAATATCATTTCTCTTGCCTGTTTCATCAATCCACAATGAAGATGAGAGGAAAATGTCAAGGTCAAGGCTGTCTATCTTTCTTGAAAAAATACCAAATGAGACATTAGCAACTGTCTCAGCCAGGTAAAACCACACCGTTCTTCTGCTTCCTAAAATAACTAGGTTCATGAAATGTGTACACAATTATTTGTGATTTTTGGATTCATCCCTTCTGTTTTTTGAGTTTCTTGAAATTCTCTGGCATGTGTCAATGTGTAGGAACAGAGACCAGCTGCTTCTCAAAATACGTAATATCACAACAATGAAAAGACACAAGCGCCAGAGTTGGACGAGATGAACCTACCTAACCTTCACTCTGCACACAAATGACCATGGCATTTAGATGTTGAAAGATTAAAACATTGACAACTAAGGTTAATCTTTATAATTAGAAAAATTCCTGTATAACCATTAGAAATTTCTTAACAAATATTTTCACAGACATTTCTAATAGGAGAATTGACAAGAAAAATGGACTGACAGTTTATGTCAGTGGATAGAAAATTCTTTCATAAAAACTTGAAAGGAGCCAGGCACGGTGGTGCACACCTGTAATCCCACCAACTCTGGAGGCTGAGGCAGTAGGATCTCGAATTCAAAGCCAGCCTCAACAAAAGCAAGGTGCCAAGCAATTCAGCGAAACCCTCTCTCTAAATATAATACAAAATAGGGCTGGGGATGTGGCTCAGTGGTTTAATGCTCCTGAGTTCAATCCCCAGTACAAAAAAAAAAAAATCAGATCTTTGACTCACCATGCCTTCTTAGAAGAATATATGCTAATGAAATAATCCAAAGAAGGAAACTGTAACATGGATGAATATGATTAAAATTCAGTGGATTGGAAACAACCTGAAGGTTCAGCAATGGGAGAAGAGTTAAGTCAGTGATGATATACCCTTGATAGTCAGGAGGATGCCAGCATTGCTACATGGTAGGAGTATGGAATAGATTATTATAGGAGGGAGGCCAGGGGGTGTATAGCTGCATTTAGGTGGATTAAATACTCTCTTTATTTAAACTGAATATTTTTGTGGGGTTTGTGTTAGTCTATTTTCTGTTGCTGTATCTAAGTACCAGCGGTAGGGTGATACACAAAGAAGAGGTTTATTTACCTCACAGTTTGGAAGCTGAAAGTCCAAGATTGAGCAGCCCCATCAGTTGGCCTCTGGTGAGGGCCTTCTGGCTACATCACAACATGGTGATAGCATCATGGTGGAAGTACGTGCAAGGAGGGGGAAATTACATTGCAAGACAGGAAACCAGAGGCTGGGAAGGGGCCAGACTCACTCTTTTTATAACTACCTGCTCTTACTTTCATGAGAACTCACTCTTTCAAGACCAAGCCCACTTCCAGACCAGCATTAATACATTCATGAGGGTGAAGACTCCATAACCATATAGTAGGCCCAGTCTCTTAAAGGCCCAGTCTCTCTTACACCACACTGGGGACCAAGTTTCCAGAACATGAAGCTTCAGAGAACACACTCAAATGGTACCGTAACAAGTTAGCCTGAGAGAAATGAAGAAGAGGTTCAGAGGATCTTAAACCAGCTCCACTGGGGCTGCCACTATTGGCAAACTACTACAGTGAATAAAATAATTATTAGACAGTTTATGTAGCAATATAGAAAAATACTCAATATATCTTGTTAAGGATAGAACAAAGTACAAAATTATAGCCATGCTGTAATTTCTACAGTTATGTTTAAAAAAGAAAAAAAAATAGTCTTTTGAGCCATGTCAGGAAAGAGACAGAAAAATAGTATGACTTTTTGAGTGGCAGAATTATCAATAAATATTTCATTCCATCTTCTACTAATGTTGTTCAATGCAAAATGCAAGTTAATATCTTACAAAACTATCTTAAGTGTTCAAAATTACATCTTTTCTTTTCCAATGTGTCTGAGATATTAATGGTGATTTAGCCACCTGCTTAGTGAGTATCACTTTGACACCTGTTATCATTTGGCAGAGTTAGACTCCATCTAAGCTCCGGGTAATGGGTCTACTTCTGGTGTTCATGGATCCACAGAAGCAAAGGAAAAAAGCATATCAACATGAAATCACCAGCCACAAATGCCTTTCCACCGGAACTATAAACATACACTTGCTCACATGAAGCTGGTGGGAGAGTAAATTGACAAACATGTTTGGCATTCTCTAATAAAACTGAAGATATTTATATCCTCTGACCTAGAAATTCTACTCCTAGGTATTTGCCCTGGAGAAACGATTGCCAAATATATACCAGTAAATATGCATAAGAATTCATATAGTAGCTCCAAAAACTAAAGTCAATTTGAATGTTCAACAATAGAGTGGATTTTTAAATGGGTAAAACTATGGTGTAATCAAGTAATACTATATAACCAGGAATATATTCTAATTACATTCAGGCTCAACACATTGGATGAAGCTCATAAATGTAATGATGAATGAAAGTAGAAAATCATGTTGTATGATTCCACTCATAAATGTTTAAGTCTTGGCAAAATTAAACTGTTATTAAGGGATGCATACAAAATGGGGAAAACTAGAAAGGATGGAAATGATTATCACAAATGTCAAGCTTGTGGTTACCTCTGGGAGGGCAAGGGAGAGGAGCTGAGGTGACCTCTGGGAGGGCAAGGGAGAGGGGCTGAGCTTAGAAGGGCACCTTGGGGCTTCTGACCTAACTGCCATTCTTTCTTAATGCAAACGGTGTTTTGTGGATTTTTTTTTTCCGGTACCAATGATTGAACTCAAGGGCACTGGACCACTGAACCATATCCCCAACCCTATTTCGTATTTTATTTAGAGACAGGATCTCACTGAGTTGCTTAGTACTTCGCCATTGCTGAGGCTGGCTTTGAATTCGAAATCCTCCCGTCTCAGCCTCCTAAGTCACTGGGATTACAGGCATATGCCACCATGCCCAGCTGTTTTATGGATGTTTACATCATTGTTTTACATTGAACAGTGGCACATTTGTGGTTTGCCATCCTCCCTGTACATTATAGTTTATATTAAAAAAAAAAAAAAAAGCAATGAGACCTTCACAAAAAGGTCAATGGGTCAGAAGTGAGGCTGTGGGGAAATCGCCTTCAGGTCACTGAAGCCGGAGGTAAAGGGAGTTGAATAAGTGGGTTCAGACCTGGATTAATGAAACAGAGCTACCTCGAGGATTTGGTTACTAAGGAGGAGCATTGTTCAGAAGCACTAGTCAATGAATCAAGGTGACCTTTTGAATTCCTCCATGAAAGGTCTAAACCACCAGGAATTATACCCTTGGAAAGGCTCTGGGGCAATGGAAACAAGAATTCTCCATAGTTCCTGGAGCCTGATGCACAAGGAAAAGATGTCCTGTCTTAGTTCACGTCTATACCCTCTCTTGCTTCTGTCTTCGCGCTTATTCCGTTTTGAGAATCTCAAGAGGGAGATGTGGGCCTACCCACAGACACATCAAGTTTGCAGTTTCTGGATCTGAATTAGGGTTGCCCATCACTGTCACACGGTATTACAACCAGCAAGGCCACCTGACTCACTTTCAATGCTTATAATATTGCCCAGGAAGAGTGGAAGCTAGGCCTTGGGGAGCACTCCTCCAACCGACTCAGCAAGAAAAATCCAAGCAATTGTTCAGGTGGTGGTTAATATGGAAGGACTGCCCCATGTTAAACATTCCATCAAGAACCAAAAGACTCTATTGATTACCTGCATTCCCTTTGAAGCTCAAGGCCTGAGGATTCTCACTGGATCATTTGCTGTTGTGTTCCTAGCACCTCATCAAACTTTCAAAGAAGCAAAAGAGATTGCTGAGTGTTCTTGTTGTGCACTGTTAAGCTTAATTTTCTATTGACTGGGTCATTTTTATAGCTCTGAGCTGTGGAGGTGAACATATAGATTTTTGTTTGATACAGATATAAATAATTTCTGTCTAGTGGAACAGATAACCTCAAGGGTTATAGATATAACTCTGTTTGACATTAACCAATTTTGTATAAACCCCAGAAATCTTATACTAGTCCTATAAAAAATAACTAGTATTTAGATATCAGGTCTCCCCTCAAAAGCTCATGTGTGAGACAATGTAAGAAAGTTTAGAGGTGAAATGATTTGACTGTGAGAGTTTAACCTAATCAGTGCATTAATTCCCCTGATAGGGATTAATGAGTGGTGAGGTAGGCAGGTAGGGTATGACGAGAAGAGCTGGGCTGATAAACCTTGGGCTTTATATTTTGTCATAGTGAGGAGAGAGCTAGAGCTCGCCCTCGCACGCTCTCTCTCTCCTTCCTGGTGTGATGTCCTGAGCCACTTTTCTCTGCCATACTCTTCCATCATGATGTGCTGCCTCATCTCAAGCCCTGAGGAACAGAGCTGGCTATCTACAGACTGAGATTTCTAACCATGAGCCCCCAAATAAACTATTCCTCCTTAAAATTGTTCTTATGAAGTCTTTTGGTCACAGCAATGAAAAAGTTGACTGAAATAGCTAGTTTCTCAAATGTTCTTTGGACCGCTACTAAAATCAACTAGATCTCCATTGGCAGGGCTGGGAAGAAGGCGTTTTCCTCTGTGAAGGTCCATGTGAAGAATGTACAGAGAATGGACTGGGAGTCAATATTTGCAAACCACAGACCCAACAAATACAAAATCAAAACCTAACACTGAAAAAAAAATCACATGATTCAAATGGAAAATGAGTCAAAGAGGGCTGGGGCTGGGGCTCAGTGGTAGAGTACTTGCCTAGCATGTGTGAGACACTGGGTTTGATTCTCAGCACCGAATATAAATAAATCATATAAATAAGTGAATAAAATGAAGGTCTATCAATGTCTAAAACATTATTTTAAAAAAAAAGAAAAAGAAAATGAGTCAAAGGCATGAGCAGGCATTCCACTGAGGATGTCCAAATAATCAAATACCCAACATCATTAGCCATCAGGGAAATTAAATTAAAACCTCAAGATGTCACTCTCAGCACTGGTGACAATGAAAAATGGCAACAACACCAACTGCTGGTGAGGAATGCAGAGAAACTGAGTTGCTGGGATACTGTTGATGGGAGTGTCACAGTGATGCCACCACAGGGAAAACAGAGTCACTGGGGGTTCTTTTTACAACTAAACATGAAAACATCAAGTGACCCAGATTTGCACTTTCAGGCAAAAGAAGTGAACTTGTGTCCAACCAAATCCTGTACGTGAATGTTCAGAGCAGATTCATTCACAACAGCCCCAAACTGGAAGCAGCTCATTTCATTGGTGGGTGAATGGTTGGAATACGACACAGGATTATACAGGAACAAAATATTGAGACATGCAGCAACCTGGATGGGTCTCAGGGGATTATATTGTGTTGAAAAACGCCAATCCAGGCTGGGGTTGTAGCTCAGTGGTAGAGCGCTTGCCTAGCACCTGTGAGGCATTAGGTTCAATTCTCAGCACCGGATATAAATAAAGGTCTATTGACAACTAAAAAAATATATATTAAAAAAAAAAGAAGAAGAAAAACACCAATCCTGCAAGGTTGCTTCTTGTACAAGTCTTTCTATTTAACATTTTCAATGTTAACATTTGATTTTCCAATATTTAATATATTTGGACCTTTTAAACATTTTTAATCCCCTTTATTTAATATTC